GAAAACAACTACGTAGACAACTCTAAATTCCATAGGGTTTCGGAGCCTAGAGCAGCTACGTATAGAAGGTCCACTTCCCCGGGCGACGTTCCCACCGCCACAAGCAAGTCTCCCACACCCACTAATGGTGCCGCCACCTCAAAGGACTTCAGAGCTTCATCAATCCAACCACGAACTCATATCTTTAACCAACTAATTTCCCATATACTGCCGTAAATAATTCAATGGTAAATTATGCACAGGAATAACCAAAATACCAGGGGTCGAGCGCTGAGCACTCCCCGTACCACTCAAGGCTTGGGTGACCCTATCACAATATTTCCTGTGCTTACATAACACCACTTTTATGAGAAAAACTACGATATCTCCCTACACTATTCAAATACAGAAAACGGCAGTAAGAACATAGCAGTTCAAAAATTAACTACGTGGATAACTCTAAATTCCATAGGGTTCGGAGCTTAGAGCAACCACGTAATTTCAACCCTAGAATTATTCCAAAAGCAGACTAAACAATCCCAAATAATCCCAAATTTCAACTCAAACTCGTACCAACTTCAAACTAAACGTAGTGGTATTGTGTCCCAAAAAATAGAAAACAATCATACAGCAGTTAATTGATCACACCTGCAGGGGCGACCCTGTTGCCCTCCTTATTCCACTACCCTGCAAGGAGCCTGATCTACCACGCACCCTTGGACCTTCGTAGTTTTAGCAGACACAATGGGTATAGATCAAGTTTGCTCCTCACCGGTTCTCTCGTAGCACCTAACCAATAGCGTTCCCACCGCCTCTTGATACCCTCATAGGCTCATACTGCTAAAGATGGCGTCGCTATCAGTAATTCCTTGGGTTTCTCCCTGACTATAGTACCGATTACTTTGTTCTCACACTCATTAGCTGCTGTATCGAGCTACCCTTTCACCCACTCTGTTCCAACACCCCGCAAAGAGCCCGAGCTGCCATGACGGGTTTCTCACCACGCACCCTTGGTCCTTCGTGGTACAACTCCAGTTTGCTCTTCACCGGTTCTCTCGTACCTCCTAACCAGTAGCGTTCCCACCGCCCCTTGTTACACTCTCACTGCTCAAGGTGGCGCCGCTACTAGCAAATCCATGGGTATCACAGTGCTATCACCAGATTGCCTTCATTTCCAATCATAAGCCACCGTACAAACACCAACCCATCCTAATTCCATACTAGTAAAAAGCAGCCACGTATGGGAAGACCAAGAAAATTCCCATACCGAAGAAAGGATATGAATGACTGCGCCTAAACATGTAAAACCCCAACAGACTTCGAAAAATCTACACGATATCAATTAAGAAAAACAACACTTAGTCTAACAACAAAACAATTCCAATTCAACTAGTACATAGCCAGCTCTAAACTCCATAAGGCTTCGGGGCCCAGCAGAGAAATCATGTCTTCAACATATTAACCCGGAAACTGCCGTAGACATAAACATAGTAAATTATCTGCAGAATTCCAGGCTAACCGTAGGTCGAGCGTGTAACACTCCCCGTGCCACTCAAGGCTTGGGTGACCTATGGCAACCGGATCAAATGAAAACCCCGAACCTGAAACAAGTGAGCAATGTATTGCCTTGCGACGAAGATAACCAATCGGGACTTGTTGCAGCCCTTCAATATGCCGGAGCGCTGCCACCGCAGCCTCACGCACTCCCACTGCGTCCAGATACGCCGCTCCGCTTTTGGTGAACAGGGCAGACAAAATGTTGTGTCGTGAAGTGCAGTGCGTGGTTTTTAGGAGATGAAAAAGGAGCCCCCCCTTTTCAGCAGAAGGCTTGAGGGGAAGGCGGCTCCTCCGGTATCATGGTCTTACAGGTGTGTAAGTTGGTATGAAGGTCCAGAGAGGAGCTGCCAAGATGCCAAGACGTAAGAGTGCAGAGGCACTCCCTACCCACTCAAGGGCTAGGCTACGCCAGGGCACTGTCGCCATAGCTCTCACACAGCTATCGTGCCTGGCAGGGTAGGTGTCACGTAGGAAAGATAGGACTGGAAGCTCACGCGCCACACCTACACAGCGGCGACTAACGACGACCGGGCGCCGCCACCGCCGCTGCCGCCGCTGCGTTAACGCACACTCGCGCGGCCCCCTTTCCCGGCCTTTTGGCCTACTTCCTAAAACGATATGTTATAGAGAAAAATATATTAAACAAGATTTGCCTGAGCACTACATCCGAATTCCTTACCAAATTTGAAATAAAAATAAAATACGGAAAACAAATACTAATAATATAAATAAATAAAAATAAAAAGAGAATTAAATTTAGTGA